TATCATGTCTTACGGTATTTACAGCTAGTATAACTAGAAGGTAATGTTTGGTCGGTAAGTATTTGTTGATTGACTAAATGTACTGATCGAACCTTCTAGACAGGAAATATTAGACCCCATTCATTTTCCCCAGGAGCTAAATTTTGTCTGTGATCAAAGAATCAGCCAAATCATCAAATAGCTCTTAAACAACGTAACCTAGAAAGTTCAGGCACCACTTCTGGGCTACACCTATGACTAACTGTATTTCACAGAAAAATAAAAATTTTGAACTACATTCTATTACCTAACTGCCAAAAGGTTATGAAACAATTTCCATAACTTAATCCAGTTGAAATGCTACAAAAGACAACTATCTTTCACTCTTGCTTTATTCTAAATTAAACACATCCTCTGCTTCTATAATAAATAATTGTTCATAATATTTCTCATCAGTAGTGCTGCTTTTGTGTTGTTTCCTTCAGCTATCTTGTCAACACTATCTTTTTTTCAGATCTTTTATTTTTTAATACTAACATTCACTTATTTGCCACACACAATACTAAGGGAGAACAAAATGTGATAAGAAAATATGAGTATAAAAGTAAACTCAGTTTATAAAGCATAATTTTATTTATTTATTTTGATACAGTCTTGCTCTGTTGCCCAGGCTCAAGTGCAGTGGCATAATCTCAGTTCACTGCAACCTCTGCCTCCCAGGTTCAAGCGAATCTCCTGCCTCAGCCTCTCAAGTAGTTGGGATTACATGCATGCACCACCATGCCCAGCTAATTTTTGTACTTTTAGTAGAGATTTGGTTTCACCATGTTGGCCAGGATAGTCTCAATCTCTTGACCTTGTGATCCGCCTGCCTTGGCTTCCCAAAGTACTGGGATTACAGGCGTGAGCCACTGCACCCAGTTCCAAAGTACAATTTTATATCCCGCCACAGACTTCATTTCAGAGTATGCATGCCCTATTCTCCAATCTATTCAGTGACAAGATATTGGCACTGGAGCCCGAAGGACTGTAACTTTTGTTGGCAAAAGCCTTGCATGGGTCAAAATAATTTTTAAACCTTTGACAAAAAAATCCCAAAAAGACCTGGCTTCAAATTTCAGTCGGTGGTTGCATGTTAGATATGTTAAGAGACCTAAACTCAAATAAAAAGGAAAGTTGACAGTAAACTAGTCAATGCAAAGAACTTACAAAAGCATAAGCTCAGAAATTACATGCGATGCCTCGTCTATAAAATACCAAGGAAGCATTACTGTTTACACCAGAGTGACAGGGCTTTCTTGAGTGATTATTTATACCAAAGGTTTAGTACAGTTAAAGAAGTCTGTCATAAATTGCCTCAATATACCATAAGTGTGGATATAGTCTAGGTTAAATTATATGAGTACTACAGAAAGAGACATGTGAGATAAACCAGCACAATACCTGCACACTGTTGAATCCGACAGTAGGAAATAAACAGCCAGTTATGAAACAAACTCAATTCTTAATGTCGGAAACAGAATAAGGCTCCATTTTTTTTTTGGAGAAAAGACACTAATCATTTAAAACAGATGGACTTTGCACCGACAATGTGAATATGCTTAACATACAGAACTGTACACTTAAAAATGGTTAAGATGCTAAATTTTATGTTATGTGTTTTGGAAAGGGTAATTTTTTTTTTTTTTAACAGAGACAGTGTCTTGCTCTGTCACCTAGTCTGGAGTGCAATAGAGTACACAGCTCACTGCATCCTTCAACTCCTGGGCTCAAGTGATCCTCCCACCTCAGCCTCCCTAGTAGCTGGGACTACAGGTGTGTGCCACCAAGCCCAGGCAATTAAAAAAACTTTTTTTTGGTAGAGATGGGGTCTTGCTATATTGCCCAGGCTGGTCTCAACTCTTGGCCTCAGCTTCCCAAAGTGCTGGGATTACAGGTGCTAGCCACTGCACTCAGCTATGTTATCTGTTTTTTAACAATTTAAAAGAAAAAAGAAAAACCTTCAAATGAGCTTTAAATTTCCCTTGAATTTTTAAATGAATAGATTTATGAGTTATTGAGTACTTACTATATATACTTGTTACCATGGAGATGGAGGAAAAATATGGATAAAACCTAATTCCTCTTTTCAAGAAGCTCAAAGTTTTGTTTTGTTTTTTTTCCCAGACAGGATCTCACTCTGTCACCCAGGCTGAAGTGCAGCCTCAACCTTCTGGGCTCAACAATCCTCCTACCTCAAACCTCTTGAGTAACTGGGACCACAGGCATGGACCACCATGCCCAACTAATTTTTCTTGGGGGGTGTAGGGGGAGATAAAGATGACATCTATGTTGTCTAGGCTTAGGTGCTCTTCCTGCCTCAGCCTCCCAAAGTGCTGAGATTACAGGCATAAGCCACAGCACACTGCCTAAAATCTCCTTAGAAACAAAAATTGGTAATAATTTTGGATCACCCAAAGTAGGTGAGTAGCCATTTACCTATCCTTTCTTAAACATATTATCTATCTCTTCTCCCTCCCTTCTCTCTGCAGGTTCTAATTGTACTTTAAAGTCTCTGATGCTTACCATGAAAAATTCTGGGATTCAAACAGATTTGCTAGCCACTATGAAATGGCCCCACCTTGTGTGCCTGAACAATTGCTCCTGGGAGTCCTCAAATAGAGGAGGTATTTCAAATTGGAGAGAAAAGCACATCTAGTCTTCTGGCCCTCTCCTAAAGCAATCACATCCATTCAATTCAACCCAACACTTAACCACTGGGACAAACTATATCAAAAAGACATCTCGATTTCAGTTCTAATTATCTTCTCTATTCTGAGCTCTTACAAAGACTGTGGTTTAGGCCGGGCGCGGTGGCTCACGCCTGTAATCCCAGCACTTTGGGAGGCCGAGGCAGGTGGATCACAAGGTCAAGAGATCGAGACCATCCTGGTCAACATGGTGAAACCCCGTCTCTCCTAAAAATACAAAAAATTAGCTGGGCACGGTGGCGCGTGCCTGTAATCCCAGCTACTCAGGAGGCTGAGGCAGGAGAATTGCCTGAACCCAGGAGGGGGAGGTTGTGGTGAGCCGAGATCGTGCCATTGCACTCCAGCCTGGGTAACAAGAGTGAAACTCCGTCTCAAAAAAAAAAAAAAAAGAAAAAGAAAAATTTGTTTGTAAAACAAGACATATATTGTTTTAAATACACATATAAAATCATTATGGTGCACAAAAGTTTGTTGCAAGTTATTTTTGTGCTATACCATCTGAAAGAATTAGAAACACTACTGATTCCAAGGCATGATTTCCACATTACTACACATCACAAAAACTTAATACAACACTACTGCTGCTGAGGCTTCTTCCCTTCTCCCCGACTAACTGAACTGCCAGGAAAAGCATTTCCTTACCCAGTGCTCAATGTCTATTTATAACTTTATTACCCCCTAAAAAAAGAAAAGATTAAAAATCTCAATATAAGTAATGTTAGCAGAAAACAAAGGTAAACAGGCGCTTTACTACTATGAAAACAAACTTACCTGTGCAGAGAATCCTTATTTCCTATCATAATTCCTGTAGCTGAACGATTCTAGAAAGGATAACGATGGCAGAATGACTCTGAGAGTATATGGTTTATTAAGTAATTGTTTAATCTCTTGATAGATGCATGTTGTAACTCTATTTGGTACCAAGATTTAGGCCAGAGTGCAGTGGTTCGATCTTGGCTTATTGCAACCTGCGCCTCCTGGGTTCAAGTGATTCTCCTGCCTCAGCCTCTGGAGTAGCTGGGATTATAGACGCCGGCTACCATGCCTGGCTAATTTTTTGTATTTTTAGTAGAGACGGGGTTTCACCATGTTGACCAGGATGGTCTCGATCTCTTGACCTTGTGATCCACCCGCCTTGGCCTCCCAAAGTGCTGGGATTACAGGCATGAGCCACCACACCCGGCATTTACTGTTATTCTTTAAGAAACAACTGCAAAAAGAAAATGTCAACAGATTTTTCCAGCAAGCTGAGAACCTGGGAATTCCTGCACAGAAGACAAGAGAGCAACCTCCCCAGTTTCAGTAACCACTAGGTTTATATTTTTTTTCCTGATTTTTACTCTTTTGGTAATATAAACTGAAACAAGAAATATTAATACCACATGGGGAGAACCCCAACCAAAGAAATCTGAAATATATAGTAAATGCTTTTTTTTTTTTTCATTTTTGTTCATTTTGGATGCTGGTGCTAAACCTCCAAGTATCATGATTTAAAAAGAAATTTTATATCCTCATTTATTTCTAGGATGAAGGAAGGATAATACTTTTGCTTTCTTATGTGACTCTCTTTGAAAACATGCAATAAGAAATTCCTCCAAAATAACATTTTTACCCTTCAAAGGGAAAAAAAAAAAAAAGATGAAGCACCTTCTTAGAATTTACATACTGTAAATTGTGCCAGTCGGTCAGTAATAAAATGGCTGGATTCTAGTTACAGTCGTATTTCAGGAACTTGTTTTACATGCTGAGTTTATAACGTAAGCCACTTCTCCATGTGTGCACACAGGGTAGACCTCTGAAGGGTGGCACTGTAACTTCTAGGGTAATGTGTTAAGTCGAGGCAGGATGACAGTTCAGCCTCCTCCCAGGCTAGTGCAAAGGGCTCTTCACTCAGATTGAAGCCTTCTCTCCCAGACTGAATTCCCCACCCCCAACAGCCCTCCTACAGAAAATTTGGAGTCCTTGCTTATTCCCTGGCGGCCCCTACCCAACAGGGTCATGAATCAATTATCAAACATGCAACAAAAGATATAGAAAGTTTAGCGAAAATGGCAACATTTTGGAATGACTGTAATGTGCGTTCTGCCTGCCACCCTAACTGGCACACATTTTGCAGGTCATTTGCTCTCCCTGGAAGGAGGAGTATTCTCAGATTTCACCTTGGTGGAGGAAGAGTTCAGGCTGCCAGAACTGGGCTAGCGCTTCCGAATATCCTGAGACAAGGTCCTGTGACTTCCCTGGGAAGCTCTGCGGTGCCCCCACCCCACCCCACTCCACTCCACCCCACCAGGCTGCTGGAGTCCTGGGACCCACCCGGGTCTGCAGCCCAAATCCTTCCTTGCTAAGGACAGGGCGTGGAGGGGTGTTCCAGGGGCTGGGTGGGAAGGGGGGCTTGGGCGGGATTGTGACATAAGATCACCCTGGTAACATGGAGCAGAACTGGACCCAATGCTAATAAAGGTAGTGTAAATAAAGGTGTCATAAAGGATGGGGCGGGGCACGTGCTTGTCAGGGACACCAGCCTCTAGGGTCTGCCAGAATGGTTCCTGCTCAATGCACAGAAACAGCGCTTCTCATGTCTGGGCTAAGTCTCTGGGCCCTATGGCCCCTCCTCACGTGGCTAATAGTCCAGGAGGCTCAGCCTCTGGAGTGGGTCAAGGACCCGCTCCAGCTGACCTCTAACCCCCTGGGGCCGACTGAGCCCTGGTCTTCCCGCCCCTCCAATCTCCCATGGGAATCTCTCCATGGGCTTAGTTCCCCGGCAGACCCGGGGGGCTTTGATTACCTGGGGTCCTCTGCTTCCTCCCAGAGGTCAACCCCACCCCAGGAATTGGCTGAGAATTTGGTCCAATTTCTGGACCCAGCTAGAGAGCTGCCCCCGGAGCCTGAGCACTCTTGGCAAGAAAGGCTCCCAGAGGTGGGTCCAATGCCGGACTGGGATCAGAAACAGACCCTAGTTCAGCCTCCTCGCCTCAAAAGCAGGGTTCAAACTGCAGACCTAGATCAGGCTGCAGATCATCAGGCAGATGAAATACTTGTTCCACCTCTAGATAGTAAGGTTTCAAAAGCAACAGAGTCTATAGTTTCTCCCAAGAACCTGAAGAAAGATTTAGCTCAGCACTGGAGACTTGCTAAGGTTGTGGGAATTCCACATCATTTTATATCAAAACAACATCAAAATTTGTTTTGCAGGATATTCTGTATCCCGGCAGCCTGCCTCCAGAACTCCAGGTGAACTTGGATGAGCCTCCAGGTCCTCCTGTGGAGCCTGAACTTTCCCCCAGTGAGCAGGAGCAGCCAGCTCAGCCTTCTGAATCTTCTGGGGAGCTTGAACCTTCTCAGACCCAGGAGGAGACCCTAGCTCAGCCTCCAGAAGAGATGGAACCTTCTGCAATCCAAGAGAAGACCCCAACTGAGCCTCCAGGTCCTCCTATGGAGCTTGAACTTCCCCCCAGTGAGCAGCAGCAGCCAGCTCAGCCTTCTGAGTCTTCCGGAGAGCTTGAATCTTCTCCAGCCCAGCAGGAAGCCACAGTTCAGGCTCTAGAGCCCCCTAAGGAGGTAGAACCTTCAAGCAAGCAGATGGTCCCAGCTCAGCTCCCAGAGCCATCTAAGGAGGTTGCAGCTCAACCTCCAGCTCATGAGGTGACACTTCCATATCCAGACCGTGTTCAGACTCAGCATTCAAACCTGACTCAAACCACAGTTCAACCTTTGGATCTGGAGCTTACCATCACTCCTGAATTTACTACAGAGGTTATACCTTCCACAGCCCTGACGACTACAGCTCCTCCTCCAAAACACCCTGAGGTGACACTTCCACCTTCACCCAAGGGTCAGGCTCAGCATTCAAACCTGACTCATCTCACAGTCCAACCTTTAGATCTGGAGCTTACCATTGCTCCTGAATCCACTACAGAGGTTGAACCTTCCACAGCCCTGACGACTACAGCTCCTCCTCCAAAACAGCCTGAGGTGACACTTCCACCTTCAGACAAGGGTCAGAGTCAGCATCAAAACCTGACTGAAGTCACACGTCCACCTACTGAACTAGAACCTACTCAGGATTCACTGGTGCAGCCTGAAACTTACACCCAAAATAGGGTTTTAACTGTACGGAAAGAACAGGCCTCCACAAGCACCAACATATGTGACCTCTGTACCTGCAGAGATGAGACGCTGTCGTGTATTGCTCTCAGCCCGAAGCAGAGGCTCCGCCACGTGCCTGTGCCAGAGCTGAACACCTACTACAGCAACTTCACGATCTTGTAAGAATCACCTTTCCCTCCATTGTCCTCTGTGTCCTGCCTGACATGGCAGGCTTTTCCTGGAGGCCTTCCCGGGCCTTCTTTATCTCCCCAAGCCATACTGACAGCTGACTTTCTGCTTTCACCTTTGCTTGTCCACTCTTCCTTCTCCTCATTCTCCTTTACTGTTAGGCCCCTTCTCTAGTCTTTTACTTTTACTCTAGTCTTTTACCCTTACTTGTTTTCTTATCCATTTTTCTTTAGCCTCATCACGTCATTGTTTAACCGCTGCTCTCCTCCCATTTTCACTTCAGCCTCTTTACAGCAGCCTGTCCCTCTCCCCATCTCAGTGATGATGCTCTAAGTGATTACGAGTTGATTCTGGAGCCAGGCTGCCTGGGTTTGAACCCAGGTCTGTCATTTATTAGCGTGGTGACCCAGAGCGAGTTATTCTGTTCTGTGACTGTTTCCTCATCTTTAAACTGGGGATTATGCTAGTTACCATTTCACAGGATTGTTGCAAAATTTAGTTGAGTGAATACATGAAATGCTTGCATTGGTGCCCAGCATATGTAGGAGAGTTGGTTGTTAAAATGATTACTCAGTCCTCTAGTTTTGTCCGGAACTCACCTTTGTCCCTGGCTTTCTATATGTAGCACTCGTTTTGTGTCCAACCCAGGGCCAAGTATGCTACCGTCTCCGGAACATGAAAATGCTAGGAAGGAAGAGAGAATAGGCACAAAAAGGGAGGTATATATAATTAAGTACTAAAAGATAATGCAGAACATCAGTGCTAGAATTTACCAGAATCTGTGATCCCTGAGGTGTGGAGGTCAGGGAAAGCTATGTAGATAAGCTAAAATTTTACTTGTGTCTTAAAGAGTAGCTGTAATTTGTTCAACAGAAAAAAATGGGAGTATAGTCCAGGCAAAGGCATGGCTACAGGTATGGTTGGAATTTAGTAGACCAATCTCACTGCACAGAATCACATGAGGGAACAATGAAGATATGATTGTGTAAAACCTTGATTAACAGCTATAGGAGTTTGAAAGTTACACAGGGAGATATGGAAAGCCATTGAAAGTTTCCAAGCAAGAGAGATGAAATGATGAAAACAGGAAGATCATTTTATTTTATTTGGTTTTTTGCTTTATGTTCAAGTGTAGAGATGAAAAGGATTGTTTTAGAATCCATATGTAGAGTGCCCTAGAGGAGAAAGCTTAATTCAGGGAGACAAATAGAAAGGTCTAGCAAAACCTAGGAGTAAAGTATGAAGGGGCTAAATCAGATTGGTTGTAATAGAAGTGGAAAGAAAAATCCTAGGATGTTTCAGCAGAGGGCACTGGGCCAAAGCTTTGGTGTTACCTGGCATAGGGTTTCTTTCTTCTTATTTGTTGATAATGATAAGCCTTGCCCATTTTCTGTTGAATTATTTACCATTTTTGTATTGATTTTTTAGAAGGAGTTGTTTAGACACGTAAGTGCTTTTGGATAAAATACTTACATTTAAAGTAATTAACTGGCATCATCTGTCTAAGAGATTGGAGGTATAGGAAGTTAAGCTTCAGGAGACGCCTCATCATTTGTGCCAGTGGCCCCGCATTATTTTTTGTACAAACTGGAAAGCTGATAGCTCTGGAAATTAAAAGGCAGGTGTTATTTTCTGTAACTGAATATCCCTGACAAGGCTGCCATGATTCTTTTACTTATCCTGTTCATTCTTTTCCTACCTATTCAAGGATATAAACTGTGTTTCTTTACAGGAATTTACAAGGAAACTATATTTCTTATATTGATGGAAAGGTATGGAAGGCATACCATTGGACCGAGAAACTGTGAGTATATTCTCTCCAAATATGACAAAAAAACTAACTGCATTGTAAGATTCTTCTTGGTCCAGAATTTTGAGGTCTTTACTTCTGAGAAAAGGTATTTCCCCTCCATACCCCAAATCAACCTCTGTTGATTGCAATCCTATGGTTATTTTAGAATTAAATTGGGTGAGCTTTCTTTAAAGTAAGAGGTAATTTAAACTTATTTTTTTTTCATACAAATAATACATGATGATATTCCCTTTTTTTCCTCTCTCTCTCCCCCTCACCCGCCTCCCCGCCAGAGACAGGGTCTTACTTTGTTCCCCAGGCTGGAATGCAGTGGCACAATCATGGCTCACTGCAGCCTCCATCTCCCAGGCTCAAGAGATCCCCCACCTCAGCCTCCAAAGTCTCTGGGACCACAGGTGCATCACAGCACGCCCACCTAATTTTGTATTTTTTGTAGAGACAGGGTCTCCCTATGCTGCTGAGGCTGGTCTCAAACTCCTGGGCTCAAGTGATCCTCCCACCTTGGCCTCCCAAAGTGCTGGTATTACAGGCATGAACCACCACCTTCAGCCCGTGATTTTATTTTTAATGTATAAAAATGAAATAACAGATAGAACAAAAACCCTCCTTGTGCCCTACTCCCTTGTTACCTGAGGTAATGCTACCCTGCATTTGGTATATATTCCTCAAGACTTTTCCCCTTTGCCTACATACATATTAACATAAAGCAAAATAGATTTGTTGTGTGGTTTTTAAAATCTTTTTTCTTTACATAAGTGGTAACATCTTGTAACTTGATTCTTTCACTTCATGATATGCCTTAGATTTCTTCCCTTCCCAGTACTTAGAATCCACAACCAGTACTTAGTTACCCTATTCATTTAAACAATCCCAGTACTTAGTTACCCTATTCATTTAAACTCCTGCATAATCCATAGTATGGATGCATCATAGTTTATTTAATAATTCTCCCATTGATGAATGTTTAGATTAACATTTAGTTTTCTTGTTATGTGCATTGCTGCAATGAAATCCCTGCACATGCTTCTTTGGGAACATGGGAAATTATTCCTGTAGGATAAATATCTAGAAATGGAATTGTTAGGGTATGGGGTATTTATGACTATGTAGACATAAAATTGTAATTGCCCTAGAAAATGTGCCAACTTACTCTGTTGTCAGTAGAATATGACAGCATTCATTTCCCCACACTTTTTCATCACTGGGTATTCTCCAACTTTTGTTGATGTTATGGGTGAATAAAAGGGATTCCATCTAAATTTGAATTGTTCTGATTACTCATGAATTTAATTAAATACCTTTATATGTTTATTGAACATTCGTGTTTCTTCTCTGAGCTTTCTGTCCTTTGTTCATTTTCCTGTTGAATTGTTTTATCATTTTCTTACTGATTTATAGAAGGAATTAGTTTAGACACATAAATGATTTTGGAAAAAATGCTTACATTAGAAGTAACTTGCATTTTTCAAAAGAGTTTGTGTGTCACATCATTAGTTCAACTTACATTGAACTAATGTAATTATATTATATAGACAAGTCATACGTGAGTTCTAAATGAAAAATAAAACACTGGGTGGAAAAAAAGGGAATATAATCATGTATTATAAACCAGCTGGTTTTATAAACCAGCATTATAAATAAAAATGCTGGGTGCAGTGGCTCACAACTGTAATCCCAGCACCTTGGGTAGCCAAGGTGGGCGGATCACCTGAGGTCAGGAGTTTGTGACCAGCCTGGTTAATATGGCGAAACCTCATAGTACTAAAGATACAAGAATTAGCCAGGCATGGTGGTGGGTGCCTGTAATCCCAGATACTTGGGAAGCTGAGGCAGGAGAATCACTTGAACCTGGGAGGTGGAGGTTGCAGTGAGCCAAGATCGTGCCACTGCACTCCATCCTGGTCAACAGAGTAAGACTCTGTCTCAAAAACAAAACGAAACAGCAAAAAAAGACAATCATAATAATCTAAGAAGAGGAATTATGGTCACTTTAAAATAGTTTCCCCCACCCTTGTCTGATATCTTATTGATAGGAAAAAAAAAAAATGCTAGAACCAAACAATTCTGTTTTCTAGCTCTAGAGGAGAGGTGTGACTCTCTGGGGGTTGTGTTCCAGATGGAGTCTTCTGAGAATAAGGAAGGTGTGGGAGATGGCTAGTAAGGGAGTGTACACCTTTCCTCCAGGGTTCCAGGATGCTGTCCACTTTCAGACAATTGTTCCTGCCTGGAGGAAGACACTCTGCTGCCTGGCCCAAGGAAGAAGGATATGGGGTTGATGTGCCTCTGGCTTCTCCTACTGCCCTGTCCCAACCAATAACCAAGTATTTCTGATAAAGGAGCATCTGTAGAACTGCTTCCACATTTTGAGCTAACGCTGTGGATTTTAAAATTACTTCTGTTCTATAATTTTTAGGGATTTGGTAGTGGTTGGATGGGTAGAGATCTGGCATTTTCTCAATCTGCCACTTGAAATAGCACAACATTTTAGGAAAGCAATTTTGTACCTTATTATTACATTCTAGAGAAACTCAGACAAAAATGTTATCAGGATACAAGTATAAGAATGTTCAAAGCAGCATTGTTTGTAATAAGGAAAAATTAGAAAAATCTCAGCATCCATCCATAGTAGATGAATCAGTACATTGCAGTATAATCATTCAATGGAATACTCTACAGCCTCATTATTCATTAGAAATCTAATGCGAGCCACATACATAATTTTAACTTTTCTGGTAGTCACTTAAAAAATAAAACTAAAAAGGAAACAGGTGAAACATGTTAATATATTTTATTTCACCCATGTGTCTAAAATATTATCATTTCAACATGTTATTATGCTATTAATGAGATAGTCTGTTTTCATACTAAGTCTTCAAAATATCCAAAGTGGTATCATTTCTACATGTAATTAGTTTAAAATTAATTGTGGAGTTTACATTCTTTTTTCCATAGTACCTTTTTTTAACTAAAGTCCAAATTTGGTTTCTAAATTTTCATCAAAAAAACTTAATCTGTTCTGCTGAGAAATCTAGGGAGAAAGTTAATAATAATAATACTTAATCTGGCAGGATGTTAGGTAGCTCATGCCTATAATCCCAGCACTTTGGGAGGCTGAGGCAGGTGGATCACCTGTGGTCAGGAGTTTGAGGCCAGCCTGGCCAATATGGCAAAACCTCATCTCCTCTAAAAATACAAAAAATTAACTGGGTGTGATGGCAAACACCTGTAATCCCAGCTACTCGGGAGGTATAAGAATTGCTTGAACCCAGGAGGTGGAGGTTGCAGTGAGCCAAGATCGCATCATTGGACTCCAGCCTGGCTGACGAACAAAACTCCATCTCAAAAACAAAAACACTCAAGCCTGTAATTCCAGCACTTTGGGAGGCTTAGGTGGGCGGATTACCTGAGGTCAGGAGTTCGAGACCAGCCTGACCAATATGGTGAAACCCCATCTTAAAAAAAAAAACAAAAAACAAAAAAACACCTTAATCTATAGATTTTATAAAATTTGCAGTTGAAAAAGTAGCATCGTTTACCCAAATTGTTCCAAACATACATTTTCTAACGACTGCATTGAGTGTCAGCTTTGAAATTTAAAAATAATTAAAATGATTGAAATCAAAGATTCAGTTCCTCAGTCGCATTAGCCACTATCACTAGCCAAATGTAGCTAGTGACCACCTTATTGAAAGCACAACACAGGTCTTGAACCAGCCTCAGCAACATACATCTTAAAAGTACAAACAGATTATTGAGTGAAAGAAGTGATACAGAAAGTAATATGTATAATATGATTTCATTTATATAATGTTCAAGAGACTAAACTATGTTGTTTATGACTGACACATAATAGGTAAAACTACATTTCATTTCATTTTATTTTATTTATTTTTGAGACAGGGTCTGCAGTGGTGCAAACACGGCTCACTGCAGCCTGGACCTCCCATGCTCAAGTGATCCTCCCATCTGAACCTCTCTAGTAGCTGGGACTACAGGTGATGCCAACATGCCCAACTAATTTTTTAAATTTTTCTAGAGAGGAGGTCCTGTTGTATTACTCAGACTTGTCTCGAACTTCTGAGCTCAAGCAGTCCTCCCTTTTTGGCCTCCCAAAGTGCTGGAATTACAAGTGTGAACCACCATGCCCAGACAGAACTATATTTTATTTCTTATTTATTTTTTTGAGATAGAATTTCATTCTTGTCACCCAGGCTGGAGTGCTATGGTATGATCTCAGCTCACTCCAACCTCCACCTCCCAGGTTGAAGCAATTCTCCTGCCTCAGGCTCCTGGGTGGCTGGAATTACAGGTGCCTGCCACCATACCCAGCTAATTTTTGTATTTTTAGTAGAGACAGCATTTCACCATGTTGGCCAGGCTGGTCTCGAACTCCTGACCTCAGGTGATTCACCCACCTTGACTTCCCAACGTGCTGGAATGATAGGTGTGAGCCACCATGCTAGGCCAGAACTACATTTTAAAAGCAAGAAAATTATTACAAAAGTCAGGATAGTGGTTACCTATAAGGATTAGAGAGAGGTTTATGATTGGAAAGGGTCACATTGGGGGCTTCTTGGATGCTAGCGGTGATCTTTTCTAACGATGTTACATGGGTATCTGCTTTATAATTATTAAACTGAATATTTGGCCAGGTGAGGTGGCTGACATCTGCAATCGCAACACTTTGGGAGGCTGAGACAGGAGGATCGCTTGAGCCAGGAGTTTGAGACTAGTCTGGGCAACAGAGTGAGACCCTGTCTCAGAAATTAAATTAAATATAAACAACATTTATATTTTGTGCACTTTATGCATATTGTAGTTCTCAAATTTTTTTAATGGGGAAAAATATTGAATGGCTTCACTTGCAGCCCTGACATAGTTCCATGTGGGGCTCTCGTAATAAGGTTTGGGGAAAGAGAGGAGCTGATCTTGGCGTCACCCAGGGTTGGATTCTAACAGGGACTTTGTGATTTAGAGAGGACGGATTTAATATACAATTTTGTGGGAAGAGTGGGTAGGGTGTGCTTGTGTGTGTGTGCATGCATGTGTGTGTGTGTGTGTGTGTGTGGTAGTGGTGGTGGTGCAGAGAGATGGACACAGAAATGAAAATGTAAGAGAAGGTTTTATGAAAGTAGAGCAGATACCATCTTGAAATTACTATTACCCAGCTTTCCTCCACATATAGGAGATAGTCCTGTGTAGCAAATAGTTGTAGTTTGCATTTTAATCTAGAAATAACCTTTTCATTTTCCAGAATTCTCAGTGAAAATTATTTGACTGAATTACGTAAGGATTCATTTGAAGGCCTGCTATCCCTGCAGTATTTGTAAGTTAGTTAGTTAATCCTATTTATGAGTTTTAGTCATATTATCAGTAAAATGAGATAATCTCTAAGATTTCTTCCAGGAATAAAATTCTTTAATTCTGTAAGTTGATATAGGGTCTTAGCCCATCTCTAGCATTAGTTACTTCCTATGCATTTTCAATTTTTAAATTATATAGACAAAATACAGACAGAAAAAATTCAAATGGTGAATCTGAGCAGTGATTGACATTCATATGAACCTTGTTTTATAACTGTTCACATACCATCTTCTTATATTCAATCTACAACCAAGAGATCAAATCTAATCTAGGGTCTATTTTTAAATAGCTCATTAAGTTAATAGTTTTTGCATTTTTTTTTTTTTTTTGAAACTGAGTCCTGTACTGTCACCCAGGCTGTAGTGCAGTGGCTCGATATTGGCTCACTGCAATCTCCACCTCCTGGGTTCAAGCAATTCTCCTGCCTCAGCCTCCTGAGTAGCTGGGACTACAGGTATGCACTGCCATGCCCAGCTAATTTTTTTGCATTTTTAGTAGAGTCCGGGTTTCACCATGTTGGCCCAGATGGTCTTGATCTCCTGACCTCATAATGATCGCCCACCTCAGCCTCCCAGAGTGCTGGGATTACAGGCGTAAGCCACTGAACCCGGCCGGTCTTTGCATTTTTAAAGGACTGTGAAAGAAACAGAAAAGAAACAAAGAGAAATATGCAACAGAGATCATATGTGGCCCACAAAGCCTAAAATATTTACTACCTGACCTTTCCAAAAAAGGATTTGAGAAAGTTGGTTTAGTAGAATGAAAGGAATTAAAGATAAGTTAACATTGTTGCCTGAAAGAGAAGAAAATATAGACCACCTACATTCATTTGAACATCATCAATGCAGAATTTTTTGGTAATTTAATCTGAATTAAATTAACATTTAAATACTAAAAAATCAGCTGAATTATATAAATAATATTATCAAGAATATTAAGCTACCAAGAGAATAGACTGGTATAAAGGATTTCATTTTAGGAATTGTTATATTAAAATTGATTTTTAAATGATGGTTAAGTGGTATAGCTACAAATGTTTACACTAAGTAACCACATCAGAAATGCCCCTGAGTCTTCAATAATTACAAAATAACTATCTCCTCAACCCTGTTACCAAGGAATGGATACCTGTATAGTATTTTTGTCTGTTTAGAGGTAAGAAGATACCATGTTCATTGCTATGAAAGCATGATTCTCATCCTCTGTCCATGGTCCAGAGGTGTGTATGTCACTAATCCTTATTAAGCTCATTAGGGATGCTCTTTTGCAAACAGATTCTTTCAAATGCAGAAGGCTTAAGGAAAGTGGGTATAAAGACCCTCAAGTGGATGCCAAAGTGCTACAGAGGCCACGAAGTAATAAAACAACATTTCCTTTAAAATAGTCATTTTCCTTCTATGCACTACTCACTCCCCCAGCTATCCATTTATTTTGCAAATATATGAGTTTGCTTTATTTCCATGTATCAGTTTTAAACATGGTGGGCAATGCAGATAAGCAAGACCTAGTTCATGCTTTCAAGGAGTTTATGCTCAGAAGAAACGGGATGAAAAATAACTACATGCAAAAAGAAGAAATAAATGTGAGCACTAGGAGTGATAAATTGTTTCTGGAGCATAGAAGAGGGGGAAAATGACTTCAATTTGGCCCCAGGAAGGTGTCACTAGAACAATGCCATTTGAATAGGACTTTGAAGGGCCATTGTGTAACATTGGCCAGACATCTTGGGGAAAATATTCTAAGCTTGCAAAAGGAAAATGTGAGAAGGCCCAAACACAGGAAAGTATTTGGGGAATGCCATGAGTACCTGTAGAGTACAAGGAGGGAGAGTGGGAAATTGGAGCCAGATCTTCTAGGGCTTTCAATGCCAACCAAGCTCAGGAGCCATCATGGGGAACCGTGTTATCACAGCAGTGCTGTAAGATAGATCTGCCTCACAATCACTGGGAGGGCACATTAGAACTCACTTCTGGACTCCACCCTCATAATTATTGATTCAGTTCATCTAGAATGGGACCAAGAATTTGCATCTTCAGTAATTTCCCAGGAGGTACTGGTCTTTGCAAGCCACTTCTGGAGAGTTTATATGATGCCTGTGTGTAGGGTAGTTTAGGAAGGGAGAGACCAGAGATGGAGACACCAGCCAGACAACATTACACCATCCAGGTAAAGAGGGTGGGACAAGCTGACAAGTGGAATCAATAAAAATAAGAGGGCCAACTGTAGTCAAGAATGGGTTTTGACTATATTGGTTTTTATTCAAAAAATGAAAATCCAGTTCCAGGTTGTTTTTGTTGCCCTATCACTATATAACTGAAGAAATTGCTTTCATGAAATATTAAAGCAATATGAAGCCAAAAATGAATTTCTATTAATATGATAGAAATTCTGTTAATAGGATTTGAATTAGTTCAAAGTTATGTGTTAAAGGGTTAACTTCCTTCCAAATGATGTGAAAGGATGTCTTTGATTTCTTCTGATATTGAACTGGCTCAGGAAAATTGACCTAAACTAGGAAGGTATATAAATGTGAGACTATTCCTTTTAATATTGGAAACTATATGTAGAGAAAAAACTTTGTGCTCATAATCTGGGATTTGATGAGACTACAAAAGGGCATCTAATCAAGTCTACTGCTCTAGGAATAATTAATCCCAAAGTCTATCAAGATCTATAGTTGTATATTTTATTTATTAAAACCATGAAGGTGAGACTCTAGGAGAGGTACAGGCAGAGTTAGGAGTTCTGGACAGTTTAAATACACATCCAGACGTTTAGAGCATAGATGAAAACTGTATTCAATACTATTCTAAACTCTTGCTATTTATCCATACTAATTTGACATCTAATAACTAATCAAGGCAATATTTTCCTTTTACTTTTCCTAGAGATTTATCCTGCAATAAAATACAGTCTATTGAAAGACATACATTTGAATCACTACCATTTTTACAGTCTATGTAAGTTACAAATAAAACTTGATTTCATTTGGAATTTTTATAAAACTCAATTATAAACCTCTTTGCTATTAATTTTGAAATGATTAAAATTTTGCCAGTAGAAAGTTAACTAAAATTATATAGCAAATCCTTTTGTCTCTAGCAAAGATTAGTGTGAACATTATTACACAGATCATAGTGAATCATCAGAGAGCAGTGGTTCTCAACTGGTGTGATTATTATACTCAGGTGACATTTGGCAATGTCCAGAGACAGTTTTGGTTGACAAAACTGTGGGTGTGCTCCTGGCATCTGGTGGGCAGAGACCAGAGATGCTACTAAACATCCTCCAGGGTACAAGACAAACCCCCACAGCAAAGAATTTTGTTTTGTTTTTGAGACAGAGTCTCGTTTTGTTGCCCAGGCTGGAGTGCAGTGGCACGCTCTCAGCTCACCACAGCCTCTACCTCCCAGGTTCAAGCGATCCTCAGCCTACCAAGTAGGTGGGATTACAGGTACTCACCACCATACCCAGCTAATTTTTTGTATGTTTAGTAGAGATGGGGTTTCACCATGTTGGTCAAGCTGGTCTCAAACTCCTGACCTCATGATCCGCCCGCCTTGGCCTCCCAAAGTGCTGGGATTAAGGCTTGAGCCATGAGCCTGGTGGCAAAGAGTTATATAGACCAAAATGTCGATGGCACTGAACTTGTGAAATCCTGTTCTAGAGAAATAAAGATCACTTAACACAAGTATTTACTGAGCAGTCACTGTTTTGTATCTAATGCACCACATGTGCAATGTTAAAGTATAAATCATAAGCTAGTATCATCCACAGTACACCAAGAAAGGATTCAGGTTGTGTTCCATCCTATGTAAATTAGAGTCATGGCAAATGATAAATGTTCTGAAATAATTTTTTTTTCCTTTGGCTTGTGTCTTTTTTTGTAGAAATCTTGGTTGCAATTTACTCACAGAACTGAGCTTTGGAACATTTCAGGCCTGGCATGGAATGCAGTTTTTACACAATTTGTAAGTGAAATAGAAAATGAATATGTGTAAACAACTATTTACATGTGAAAACCTCATACAATTATTGGTTAGCTGGGTATAAGCCCATTACGAACTCTGAAAAGTATGTCTTAAGATCCATTCGTTTTTCTCAAATGGGGAAACTAAGGCACAAAGGCCAGGAGACTTACTTACATAGCTTATATATGACTTGCTCTGCTTTTCCTAGTTCTGACCTTTGGCATGGGCAAGAAAAGGCATCAAACAAATGACCCTCAAATTAGCCTTGTTGACAGGTGTGGTGGCTCAGGCCTATAATCCCTGCATTTTGGGAGGCAGAGGCAGGCAGATCACCTGAGGTCAGGAGTTCAAGACCAGCCTGGCCAACACAGTGAAACCCCATCCCTACTAAAAACACAAAAAAACTCAGCTGGGCATGGTGGTGCAGTTTTTTGCTCCCTGGAGGACTTTGTGTTAAGCTTCCTTCCTTGTAGCTAAATGTTGCAGACGTTTCAGCAGTTAGAAACTGTGCATAGGTGCAGGAATCAAAGTTAAATCCAAAGTGTAGGGCCACGTATGGTGGCTCACACCCGTAATCCCAGCACTTTGGGAGGCCGAGGCGGCTGGATCACCTGAGGTCACAGGTGTTCAAGACTAGCCTGGCCAACATGGCAAAACTTGTCTCTACTAAAAACACAAAAATTAGCAGGGCATAGTGGCACGTGCCTGTGATCTCAGCTACTCGGGAGACTGAGGCATGAGAATGGCTTGAACCCAGGAGTCAGAAGTTGCAGTGAGCCGAGATTGTGCCACTGTCCTCCAACCTCTGCCAGGCTAGTCTTGAACTCCTGTGACCTCAGGTGATCCACCCACTTCAGCCTCCCAAAGTGTTGGGATTACAGCTGTGAGCCACTACACCTGGCCAAGATGGTGTTTATGTTAAGTTATGGTGCAAAAAATAATTTGTAAAGAAAATACATCACCATAGCTTAATTTCATATACTTTCCTGACTACTCTTTGACCATAAATACAAATTTTATTCCCTTGCAGCTCAAAAATTCTGTGATTTCTCTGTATAACATAACCGGCAAATCAGAGTGGGTATGTTCAATGGCCTGAAGGGGGCTTTAGACTCAAGGTGAAGATTCTCCTTTACATCTGACTTTAGAAAGGACTTTCCACCTCTCTTGAGTTTCAGAAGTCTAGTTTCACACAGTTCATTTCGAGGTAGAGGGAGGCGTTCAGGAAGTGTCTGGACGAGAGCAACAGTTTCTGCAGATGCTCCTCTCTGTCCTCATTAATTTGCTGATGCCTAACTTAGGAAAAAGACACTGAGGGTCTGTTTTTCTTTTGCCCTCACATCAGAGAACAGGCTCATTAGGTCCCTCCACCAAGAGGTGTAGGTAGCATTAATAAAATGTCTTAAACTCACCACTGTTACTAAGCACTTTATGATACGGAGAGTCCCTCATAAGAATCTGGTGGCCGGGAGCAGTGGCTCACACCTGCAATCCCAGCACTTTGGTAGGCTGAGGTGCGTGGAACCCCATCTCTACTAAAAGTACAAAAATTAGCTGGGTGTGGTGGTAGGTGCCTATAATCCCAGCTACTCAGGAGGCTGAGGCAGGAGAATCACTTGAACCCAGGAGGCAGAGGTTGCATTGAGCCGAGATCATGCCATCGCACTCCAGCCTGGGCAACAGAGTTCGACTCAGTCTCAAAAAAAATAATAATTTGGCCAGCTTCACTGCAATTATGTAGGCAACACCAAGAAAACACTGGAATCACAGCTGATAAAAATGAATGAATTCACTCAAAAACATTCATTCAGTGCCATGTCCATTTGTGCCAGGTACTGGTACTGAGTACTGGGGGTACAAAAATCTGTCTTAAAGACACACCAAGATGGAGACTGTCATACCTCAAGAAGGAAGCAGATGCTGATGGGAAAACATAGGACAGCTATGTGGGCATCTGTACAGCAGGGTGACAAGGGGAGGACAAAGTAGGAATGGGTGGTGGGTTAAGGAAGACTCGAGGAGACACCACCTTGCTTATCTCGAGCTTCTGTGTTCATCTTAACAGAAAAAGGCATTTGCTTCATGGTGATGAGAAAAATCAGAGCTAGCTGATACTGGAAATTAGTACTCATTTCATATAAGCAGAATAGAGCTGTACCCTTCAAACTAAGACACAGTTACTTTCAAAGATTGACACAACAGTCTCAACACAGCAAGTTTATGTTGGGGACTGGGCTCCTTTGTTTGGAGTCAAATTTTTCTAGTAAAGCTACATTGCAGAATCATATTTGGCATATGTGACATATAGCCCCATTGCATTTTGTTCCAAAGGCAAATTGCCAAGTAATTTTTTGACCAATATGGCACCATTCTGTGGTGTTTGTAAGTTGAAAGAATGTATTTTCCTGCATTACTTAAGTTTGAAGAAAAAAAAGAGGCCCCAGCTGTGGTGGATTGATGGTGAACTGAAAAGGGCCTAAGCTTCAGGACTTCTCACTTGCACAGGCCCCTTCCAAGGTTCTGGGAGGGCCCTTGGCAAATTTTGTATTCATCATTTTTTATGTTTTCACTAGATAAGGTTCAGACCCCACAAAATTCTGAAATAGCCCCTGGGTTCCAAAAGTTACAACCCAGTAAATTTCTTGAATGAAGCATCTACGTTATTGACAAATACTGACTGGCCAAGTTAGTGTGGTAGCGTCAGTCTCTTTTGAATCTGAAATCCATCTCAAAGGCATACCAAGAGCTTATTAGTGGACTTAACTGGGTTCTGCTGGCCCAAGCGCAGTAAAGCCAAACAGCTATATCAAGGGTTTGTATTGGGGAAAGGAGGGCATTTATTTGCAAGGCATTCAAGTAAGAAGGACCAGGCAGCTAACAAAGTCCCCCTCTGAATGGTAGCAATAATCATGAATGAATCATGAATGATTACAGATGAAATCATGAATGAAATGGTTTATGGAAAACCAGCAATGGTTGATGATCCTAAATGTTGAGTATGTTTATATTTTTTCCCTGACTTTAAAGTGCTTCTCCTTCATTTCCATACACAGGTCTAGTCTGATGGCTTATCTTTAAAAATTCTTCGTCATTTCATTGGTTCTAACAATACAAACTCCATAATTTTAGAAACTGGATGACTTTGCAATGTAGAAAGGCTGGAGTGCAGTGGCGCACTCTCAGCTCACCACAGCCTCTACCTCCCAGGTTCAAGCGATCCTCAGCCTACCAAGTAGTCGGGATTACAGGTTTTACTCAGATAGAGCACATCAATATCGTGCCAAGAATGTAAGCACAAAGAGAGAAGAGGAAAATCCAGGCTTTATCCCACTATCAGAATATTAGTGATGTAGGTGTGGCCACCCTGTGATGGCAAATTGAGTCACAAGCATGCCTTGTTGTTCCCCCCAGTCTGCTGACATCAGCTTCCTTTACATAGCGGTAGATGCACAAAAGTTTGCACAGTTGAGGGTATTGTCATCACGTTTTGGTATGTACTGGAACAGAGAGGCACAAACATTAAAGATGAAAAGAACAACTCCGTCTGTCCTTTGGGGTGATTTAGGGTGGCTGTTTAAATTTGTAATTGTTGAAAAGTCTTGAGATTGTCACACCTGGCAACTCTTATACTTTTCTTCTCTCACTGCAGCTTATTCTTCTCCCCTGTGTAACAAGCTGTCTTTTCACAGAAGCTTAGCGTTTTCTTCCTCTGCCCCATAGCATTTTTTCAACACTTACATTTATTAGGTGCTGTTTATGTTCTAGACACCTAAGTGCTTATACAAGTGAGATAACATGTCCAAAGTTCTTAGAATAGTGCTTGGCATATGGTAAATGCTCAATACATGTTACCTCCTATAAGAGCTCATTTTCATTTTTCCAACAACTCTGTGATGTGGATATTATTATCATTTCTATTTTGCAGATGAGGAAGTTGAAACTCAGAGATGCTGGGTAATTTACTTAGGTTCACACGGCTATTAAGTGGCAGAACCACTTAACAAGCTTTGCAAGTAATTTTCTATGCAGCTGTTAGTTCCTCTGTAATAGGAGCTGAATGATGACAATTTGGCTTTGTGTGCATCGTATCCTACTTTGTAACTTGAATAGGACCTTTAGAGCAGTGACCTTCATTTCCCTCTGAGAATCCCATGCTTCTGGAGCTCCTGACTGTACCACTTCTGGGCATCCCCAGGATTTATGCTCACTGGCCAGTGCTGGTGTGACATCACGATGGCTGAGCATCATCATGTGCTGTGTCTAGCCCACTGCTAGGTGCTATACTCATTTATTCATCAAACTGCCTTGGACTGTAAATGCTACCCAGAAAGATTCACGTTCTTACTCAAGTCACTTCACCAGAAAGTGACAGAGCCAGAATTCAAACCCAGGTCTGCCTGATTCTCGGTTATTCTTCATTGCCAGGGAGTCTTCTTCAAGATTATTCTCAAGAGTTTAAGATAGAGGCTCATGGCCAGGCATGCTGCATCATCCCTGTAATCCCAATACTTTGGAAGGCTGAGGTGGGCAGATCACTCAAGCTCAGGAGTTCAAGACCAGCCTGGCCAACATGGTGAAACTCCATCTCTACTAAAAATACAAAAATTAGCCAGGTGTGGTGACAGACACCCATAATCCCAGCTACTCTGAAGGCTGAGGCAGGAGAATCACTTGAACCTGGGAGGTGGAGGTTGCTGTGAGCCAAGATCATGCCACTGCACTCCATCTAAAAAAAAAAATAGGCTCACCATTTCAGATTCTCTAGACTTTGCCCCTGAAAAAGGGTTTATGTGGTACAGTCAGAGGTCTTGTATTGAGGAGCTTGGTATGGAGAGATGTGTTTTCATGGATCAAGGACCTATGTAGATGAATCAAGGAAAGGGATTACTTTCCTCCCCAAGTACATCACACATATTGGATGAGGGTCTAGGTCACCTTATTTCTTTGACTAACTTCCTCCATGGAACTGCCTTGGGATTCTAGCATAGATCATTTTGGAGTTTGTCATTTAAAATTTAAATTTACTTTTCACGGCATGCTTGGACATTTTTCAGCTAAGCTGCTTGGATTTCAGTACACTAGGGCAGTGATGACATGCTCCAGTACTTTCGTCTCTGTCTCCTCAGTTATAGAAAGGAAACATAACCCATCTGTCTGGCCCTATATAGAGAATTTGGAGAAAAAATAAAAAGCAGGCAAGAAATGTTCCCTTATTTTGTGAGCTACCTTTATTCTGTCCCATGGTTCTGTAGCAAAAGGCTGGCACAAAAATATTTGAGTTTTTCTCTTCTAATAAGGCATATTTAAAAAAATTATTTAGAGCAATACTTCTTAAACTTTGACTCTGAGACTGAGTCAAAGTTTGCCAAAGCTTGCCACATTTTATTCCCATAAAGATATCAAAAAGGCAATGGACTGGGAGTCAGTGCACCTTAGTTTAATGTATAAAATTAAGGACTTGAACCAGAAATGGAAATGATCATCTACTGTGCATATAAAAACACTTGAGGCCGGGCTCGGTGGCTAACGCTGTAATCCCACCACTTTAGGAGGCCAAGACAGGCAGATCGATTGAGTTCCAGGAGTTCAAGAGCAGCCTGGGTAACAAAGTGAGACCCCGATCTCTACAGAAAAACTTTTAAAAAGTAGAAACATAAATATAAATAAATAAAACATTCATATCATTTTGTTTGTGGAAAAGAGTTGCTATAGAGTCCTCAAGTTGACCTGTTGAGTCAGTTCCCACTCAGTGGTCCAGGCACAACCTTAGTCAAGAAAAGAATGCCTAAAACAGGAGGAATATAGGATAATAAAGGAAAGGAGGAAGGGAAATGAAGGAAAGAAGAACAAAGAAAGAAAGAAGAAATGAAAGGAGGGATGGGAAGGAGGGAAGGAAGAAAGGGGAAGAAGGAGGGAGGGGAATGAAGGAAGAAGAATGAAAGAGAGAAAGAAAAGAAGGAGGGAGGGAGGGAAGGAAGAAAGGGAAGAAGGAGGGCGGTGGGGAATGAAGAAAAGAAAGAATTTTAAAACCCATAAGGTTAAAGTAACCCTTTTTCTTCATACAGATTAAACACATGATTTCAAATTACAGCTTTACTTCTTATAGCTTGGGACCTAGGACAAATTATGTAAGCTCTCTGTTCCTCAGTTTCCTCATTTATAAAATAGGCAATAATAATGTCTGCCACATAAGGTTATTGTGAGGATTAAATGTGAAGTGCCGATCACAAATACCTGCCAGCCCAATAGATACTCGCTGTAATAATTTTATTTTTATAATTTCTGCAAAAGTATGGTGATGATTCTTGGATTAACCTAAGGCAGATTTTCTTTTATTTCTTTCCTATTCTTTTATTTTTTTCATTCACTTTAAAAGATTAAAAAGAAACAGATTCCAGCATTTTGGAATAAAAATTTGCATCAAAATGAATTTATTCTTTTTATTGACATACAAACAAATGTCATTTTTTATTCAATAAACATTTATTAAATGCCTAGTAAATTTCAGACATCATGCCCAGCACAGGGTCACAAAGGCAATAAGATGTGGTGTCTTCCCTTAAGGAGCTGATAGTCCAGGACACTGACAGGTAGACAGGTGTTACATGCAATGTGGCAAAGACTGTGATGTGATACTAGAAATACAAGTGGGAGTATGTGATAGGAGTATGGTTTTGACCTGTTCCTCCTCTTAGATTATCGCTTTTTCTTTGGCTAAAAAGCAAAAGAATTGGTCCTATGTTTTTTTTTCCTTAACTGCAAATTAGACCATAAATTTTAAACTTTATAAAGATAAGACAAGTGGCCAGGCACAGTGGCACACACCTGTAATCCTAACACTTTGGAAGGCTGAGGTGTGTGGGATTATTGAGGTCAGGAGTTCGAGA